ATCTCCAGTCTGCTAAGAAAGGAAAAAAAAACTAATAAGCCGGTAAGAAAGTATCTAAAAAAAATTGGTAGGAAAATTATGAAGTATGGTGTGATTTTTGAAAAATCCATTTCTTTTAACTTTCAAAATGTGTATGTACGTGTGTGTGTGTATATATATGTATATATATATATATATACATATGGTAAATCCATTTAAAGGGTCAATAAGCATGTATCAATATTGTATTTTCATTTTCCAAATATTACTATTCAATTCATATTTACTGATAAAAATGCATGTATATATTTTAAACCCCAATAAAAAAATTAGGAATGCCAATTATGAAAAAGCTTCAAGGGACAGATGTGTGGCACAGAGTGTTAAGCTGCTGCTTGAGATGCTTACATTGCCATTTGGAGTGCCTGGTTTGAATCCTGGCTGTCCCGCATCTCCAAATTGGCTTTCTGCTATTGCATCCGGGAGGCAGCACATGATGCCGAGGGAGTCCTGGATGGAGTTCCTGGCTCCTGGTTTCAACCCGGTCCAGCCCTGGTCCAGCCCTGGTCCAGCCCTGGCTGTGACAGTTGGGAGTCAATCCAGAGGATGGAAGATTCCTTCTCTTTCTCTTTTCCCCCATCTCTATGTCACTCAGATTTTTAAAAACTAAAGAAACTTTAAAATTTCTATCCAGAGCAGACTTTCTCCTCTGATATCCTACTGGGGATTAGGACACATTAGATGCAAATGCATCTATCCACAGTGCTGCTTCTGAACAAAGAATCGGTTCTAGATTGCACAGTTGAGGAATTCTTGGGAGAAGCATCTCGTCTCCTTGAAGCCATGAGGGCCAGCAGCAATTTCTGACACAGATTTGGAAGTGTCAGCCTCATAGCACAGTCTAGTGGAAGGACTAGGAAATCAACTAGGCTGTGGGTCTTAGGCGCGGGCCACTCTGCTGCTTTCACAGAAGAGCCAAAATACGGGATGAACAGAGAATTATTCCACTGCTGAAAGACAACTACTACAAGCAATTCGTAATTTCTCATGTTTCTCTTTAGGTGAAGGAATACACACACACACACGAAGGAAGGGAACGCTCTTCACCTTAAAGAGATTACTTTAAATACTAGTTTAAAAACTAATTTTCCCATGTGAAATCCTATGAGTATGTCGTCACATGTCAACTTTTACTTCCACATCATCCTTGTTTATGGTGTCCAGTGAGGGATGTCTTCTCATCAGTAGAGTTCAGACAGACATTTGAAAGAAAAAGAAACATTCTCCTTATAGGTTACAAAGCCATGCAGACCACACTTCACATCCTCCCCACTTTCCCACTCCCTGACACAGACACACTCCTGAAAGGAACTCGTGATAACGGCATCTTAGTGTGTGTGTGTGTGTGTTTAAATAAAACCAGTAAGGGTCGAATTTCCATTATGTGATCATTTTTAACGTGGATGTCATGAATTTTGAAAGTGAATATCTTATAGCTCTGGACACTTGTTGAGGGGATAGAAAGGAAGACCTCTCATCCTTGCCAACACGTTGGTTTGTGTGAATCACTGCTCAGTGCGACCTTTCAGGCACATAATTTATCTTTTCTCTGGCCTATGCAGTAAATGCTTCATTTGTTCATGAATTCTTGCCTTGTTTTAATTATGCTATGTGCTGAATGTAGTTTTATAAGGCACAAAAATAAGATTGTCATTCTGAAAACACAGAAGATTAGTGTGTCTCCCTCAGAATGAAATGGTGGCATCCTCCTGATTCATGGCTCTGTGGGGTTGTGGTTGGAATGCCAATCCAGCAAGGGCCATGAGGTGCAGGTGGGGGGATGGGCGTGTGGCAGGGGAGGGACAGCTAACAGGGCTGAGCCAGGGCATCATTTATCCTAAGAATTCTGAATTAATACATTGATGCCCATCTATGTATAATGTGGCACTCCCACCAAAAGGCCACTGGCTGAGAAGTTTTATTCATATTTGTTGTTATTTTCTGAGGACTGGAGTCTCTTATTACACTTGTAGGATAATTAGTCCACCCTATCTTCCCCTGCCCACCAACACACACAAATAGAGTTCTGTACAGATAGGGATCAGACAGGAACCCTAATGATCAGAAGGCTGTTGGTTGTTTAAAAGTTTTACAGACATCGGGCCCGGCGCGGTGGCGCAAGTGGTTAAAGGTCCTCGCCTTGCACGCCCGGGATCCCATATGGGCGCCGGTTCTAATCCCGGCAGCCCCGCTTCCCTTCCAGCTCCCTGCCTGTGGCCTGGGAAAGCAGTCGAGGACGGCCCAACGCTTTGGGAACCTGCACCCGTGTGGGAGACCCGGAAGAGGCTCCTGGCTTCGGATCGGCATAGTATCGGCCCGTTGCGCTCACTTGGGGAGTGAATCATCGGATCATCGGACGGAAGATCTTCCTCTCTGTCTCTCCTCTCTGTATATCCGCCTTTCCAATGAAAAAATAATAAAAATAAATCTTTAAAAAAAAAAAAAGTTTTACAGACATCAAGGATATTCCAAATACTTCATGAAAAGTGGAATTAATGGCATGATTATTTATTCTAGTGAATTTATTCTAGTGAATATGAACTTTTTTTAAGAAAATAAGAATTGTTAACTTATAAATTTTTGCAGTAATATTTTTCACACAAAAATAAATCATGCTCTAAATTTTAGGTTTCCATGACATTTTTAAATTTCTTATATGTATCTGAATATTAATAAGGTCACAGGCTGAAGGCGAATTGGCTGTTTTGTAACCTTCCTATATTTTATATGCTTTCAGTATTTCACATTCCAACAATTTCACCAATAAACAATGGAATCTGCAGTGTAACAAAATCAGATTCAGATTCCAGTGGGGAGTCTGGGGGAGCTGACTCACCTATTCAGAACGGGAGACAGGCTATAATCTTTTGGGACTTCTGAGAAATGGTTCAAACTTCAAAATGCCATCCGTGAGTTTGACAACAGATGCATAGCCTTTTCTGAACATAGGCCCCATCTACCAACTCCAGATAAGAACACATCATTTATATGAAGGTGCTATCCTTTCAATACAGGAACCCATGTTAATAAAGCCCAACTCTAAAATGACAGCTCATTTATCCTAGACAAGGAATGGACTGAGTATGTTGGCGTTTGTTGGCTCGTACTATCTGCTGCTGACCTGGGCTGCTTTATTGACAAAGAGGAGGATCTCGGTGAGTCACTAGATACTGAAGCACAGTCCTTCATTCTCTTCTCATATATAACTCAATGTTTTCCTGTCTTAGACAATGAATTGGCTTTCAATACTCATGCAACAGAAGCATGAAAGCATTAAGAAAAAAAAAACCACACCCTCAGAACATCTTTGGGAGCCATGACTAAAAAAGAGAACTTGACAAATGTATCCTAACGCACAGAAAAGTGGAAAACAGTTTTTTGAATGTTCATAAATATTGTGATCTGTTCACAACCCCCAGACAAGGCAGCCCCTGGTTTACACATTTGTTGGAAAGTCACCTGGGCCAACAAAGCTGTTTCTTCTTGTGGCTGGGCATCCCTCTGATACTTAGCTGGATGCTCAGTGTCCTCCATGGCATTTGCAGGCGTGGTCTTCCTTCTCTGAGCAGCAAACTCACTGGGCCCCGCCTGCATGGGCACAGTGCCTCACTTTATAAAGCCTTGTTGCCTGTGTGCACCTGGCGACTTGTTCTTGAAAAGCACAGAGACACTCAAATGGCCTCTGGACCTCTACTGTGCATTTTGAAAACTGGGCATTGGAAGAGATATTTTTTTTAAACTTCAATTTAAATTTTGCAAAAATGTCTCTGTGCTAAAGTTTATAGAAGTGGCAAGAATGCCATTAGTAAGAGCCAAATCATAGGAGCCTACTCTTTTTTCCCAATTTCCAGAGCATTGAATTGATGCCTAACATTCATGATGTAATTCTGACACTACTCTGGATGCATTAAAACCACAGGTGAATGTGATACTTGTTTTCACAAGAAATAATTTATACACGGTGTTTAGAACAGAGCCTGGCCTATTGTATGCATCCAATCAATGAGTTATTATTACTAGCATCTTGGCAGTATAGATACACGATTATGTTGTTGCTACAGCAGACATACTGGCCATAGCAATAAACAACTGAGCCCCTGTAATTTTTTTTTTTTTTGGCTATCAACTCAACCAACAGTAATTAATTTTACTTAAATTTTGTAAACTATTGTTAACTAAAAGTCTGTTAGCCAAGAAACCATTAAATGTAATATGTGTAAAAATGTATCAACTTTGATTTCTTCCTTCATGCAAATTTGTTCCCTGAATATAAACAACCTCTTTCAAGGCTAAAAGCAAATGATTCTTTTAACATTGAGAACTTGCCTTTCCTCGTTCAGGAAAGAAAGCAACTGACTCAGCATCCTTCCTTTAAAAATACAATCTCACTTTTGATAAAGACATTCCTCTGGCTTATTGGAAAATCACCAGTCCCCTAAGGAGTCATCCCAGAGCTAGCAATGCTCTTTATTCAAATGTACACCCCATTGCAAAAGACAGTTAAAGCTCCAGGCAGGCTCTTAGGAGTTAGGAATAAAATGTGTCCCACGCACATCTTCTACCCCAGCATCTGTCAGACAAGCAACTGATCCCAGGCAGGGTATTTAAGTCTTTTCAGAATCCTTTTTATTCCTCTGATGCCTTTTCCTCCGGACTCTACTGATCACAAATGCAGCCTGTAGCACCACCTTCAACAGAAGGAAGGACAAACACACTTGTGGGCAACTCACCTCCTTGTTCTTTTGTCAGAAAACAGATGCTGCAGCTGTTACTGTTCTTCCAACAGATGTTGCTGCCCACGACGGAAACATGGAGGAGTTCTACAGGGGTCAACAGCATGCTACCTTGCCGGGCACCCCAGATGATGAGGGCGCTGTGTGTGCAGAGGTCTCCCCCAAAGGATTCCCCCACCCCTACAGCGTGCATTCCAAGCCAAGCTGGTAGTGCTTTTGCACACTTACCTCCCCGGTAGGGACTCCAACAGGCTGATTGGCTAATCCAGGATTCTCCTCAGTCTCGTCTTGGGGCTCTGCCCTCTTTGCTTCTTGTTGGCTGTTGTTTGATGCTTTTTCCTGTCCCTTGTCCAGCTTGAATAATTTCTCAAAAAAGTTGAAGTCCTTGGGTTTGGAGGGGGCTGTTTCCCCTGACTCTGGTGGGGCAGGTGGCAGAGCCCAGGTGGCAGAGAGGCCCTCGTCCTTGGCTGGGGTCTGCCTTGGGGTTTTATCTGTGTCGGGCCCTGGTGCAGCTGCCACGGGAAGTGCCACACTTTCACTCGGGGCTTTGTTTGGTGGCGCTTCACTGGAGCTGACATCAAGCTTCGCTGCTCCCGGGGATGAATCCGAGCCTTGGTCTCTGGGACGTCCTGGTACTGGCCGAGAGAGCGTCAAGAAAAAACGAGATTTAGCAGCTGGTGCCTCGGATTTGGCCTCTTTCCCAAGATTCTTTCCGTTGGCATCGGCCGCAGCACTTATGTCCATTGTCTTGGGGGAAGAAGCAGCCGCATTATCTGTCTTCATGCTTATTCCCAAATCGACTGAAAACACACACAGAAAATCAACAGTTATTCAACTAAGTCAGGAAATTCAAGGATAAATAATGGACTCCAAATGTCTTATATTCAACAAAGGCCACCATGCAACTGGGACTGTGTGGTCCTGGGGTCACTCTGCCAAGCAGAAGTTGGTTCCCAAGATCTCTTCTGACCTGTCCTCCTCAGTGAGGACAGGACATTGCTGGCAGGCCACAGCCTTCAGGCGCAGTATGAGTGACACTTCCAAGGAACCATTGAGAGTTATCCCACATTCCCACATTCCCACATCCCTTTCTCCCAATACGGACCTGGGCGCCAACAGCCTGCTCTGCCAGGACAAAAGTGGATAAGATGACCATGCATAAAGGTGCTTCGGAAAGCTTGAGGGAAGTGGAAATAAGAAATGATGTGCCCCTGGGGAGTGCATGTTCTGGGAGTGGGAGTGGCCTAGCAGGGAAATAGTGGGTACCTCCATCTTGGCTTGCCATTCCATCTGGTAAGCATGAGAACCAGGACTGGGGCAGGTGTGGCTAGACAGAATGGCACCCACCAGCATGTGTGTGAGCTGAATAGAGGGGCCAGTTGAGTTGAACTAAGCTTCAGTTCCTATTGACAGGTAGGAGAGCTGAATGGAATGTGGGACAGACTGGATCAGTCTGCTGTACATACTGGCAAGCACAGGAACCAGGGCAGGGGGCAGGTCTGGTGGGGGTTATTGCAGGTTGTTCTGACCAGTTTGCAGCTCCCACTGGTTTGTGTAACAGCCAAGTGTGTGCTGGGCAGAATCAGACTGGACTGCAACACGCATTGGTTCGCATGGAAGACAGGGCTAGAAACAGAACTGGTCCAGCAATTGTAACCACCAGCATATGCATAAGCTGAATGAGGTGACAGACTGTGCCAGACCCTGTACAGGCAAGCACACACAAGAATCAGGTCTGGGGTCACTTCACACAGTTTCTTAGGGGATCCCCTCAATTGAACTGTTGGACTCAGAACCCCAACCATGAAGAGAAGTGTAGGTTCCATGGTCTGACTGTGGAGTGCAAGTGTCAAAGCTGAGCCTCCTCAGAGGCTCAGATGGAGCAGTGGACAGCATATCCAGGTGCACATGGAGGATATGGCAGTCTGTCCGAACCTGCAGAGGACACCTGCAACCACAACAGAGGACAGAGGACAGAGGACAGAACAATTCAATCAACTATCCCTGCCATGTGTTGGCAGTGAAAATTTAGGCAAACACTCTAAGGTGAACTATGTCAGCCAGTGGATTCTGGAATGGCGTGATTGGCAGCAATTCAGAACTGCTGAACTATCAAAAGCACCTGAGTAGGACTCTCACAACATGCCCCATGTTGGTGACCCTGGGATGGGTTGGGAGACTGGGTGGGGCTTTTCTCTTTATCTCCCTCCTTACCCCAGATACAGAAAAAAAAAATGTGGAAGCAATGGTCTTACCCAATTTCCTGTAGCCCTTGACCCTTTGTGCCCTAATCAACTATGTAAAGATTATCAAGATAAAATAATTACCAAAAAAAAAAAAAAAAAAAGAAAAAGAAAAGAAAAGAAAAGAAACACTGTGCCTTCTTGGTGAACTTTCTAAAGTCCTCCTGTATTGTGCACTAACAGAGGGAAATTGCAAATTTCCCAAAAGACACGGGAGTTGGTAGAGTGCAGTCAAGAAGTCTGGGTGAGCAGGTCTCTCTCTCTCTCTCTCTCTCTCTCTTACTCACACACACACACACACACACACACACACATTCTTGGACCAAGCCTGGCCCAGTCAGCACAATTCACTGGAAAAGGAACCGAGATGATGAGCTCTTCAAAGGAGAATCTTATTTGAATATCAAAGGATTACCGTGGCCCTGGGGGAGCTGATGGAGACCTCAAAAAGTTCTGCAAAAATGACCTCTTTGTGGTCATGCTGCCCAGAGTCAAATGACACTTCAAACAGCCATGGCTCTCTGTGTTGTGCAAATGTGTTTGCTTGAAAGGCTGGAAGTCAGAATTCAAGTGGCAAATGCTTCTGCACGGGAGGACTACGGCAGATTGGAAAATGGGACTGAATGGTCACACTTGGTGTTGCTCATCTCAGCATAAAACGTCAGGACACCGTAGGCAAGACATCCCAGCATAGATTAAAGCAGGGCCTGGGGAAGAAGCCTTGACCATCAGCCTAACACAGAGGTCTAGACACAGGCGATAGGTGACTGCCAACCCTGTGCTTGTGAGAATGCACCAGTCACTGCGGGACACACAGGGTCTTGAACCTCCTCTTTGCTCAGGTCTTCCCTGTCAGTACCATGTCTGTAAATATCTGAGTGAGCAGAGTTGGAGGCAGGTCAGCATTTCTCCGGCATACACAAATGCTGCCCTGGAAGACACATCAGGCATTTGAACCGTTTCTTGCATCTTTTTCAAAATTTGATCATCATACAGATTTAATATAAATCTAATGAAAACATCGGACTTGATCGTTTTCCTTTCCTGTCTCTATCCTCTACTGTTTTTTTTTTTTTGCAAGAAAACTCCCACCTGTACCCTGTTATGGTTTATCAAACTATATGTGTGGCACACACACACACACACACACACACACACACACACACACACATACAAACACACCAGATACATGTACGCTGTGGTTGTATTTGTTATTGTTGGTTTTACAAAAATATTAGATGTTAGAATTATTTGATTGCTTTTGTACACTATAATTAGCCTTCACGGTCAAGATATCCAAATCTAGTTCACCTTTTTATGAGCTGCATTATATTTCTGGTTTGTACGTGCCTTCATCAAGTAATGGATGAGTGAACAGTATGTGGTACATGTAACAATACAGTACGATTCAGCCCTAAAGGAAAATGAAGCACTAACACCTGGAAAAACACACATGGACTTCGGCAACATCAGGCTAAGTGAAAGAAACCACCTGCCAAATGCTACACATGGCATGATTCCACTGACAAGAAACGTCCAGAACAGACAAACCCAAGGAGACACAGGAGCAGAGCAGCTCAGTGCAGCGGCCAGCAAAGGAGAACTGAGCAGTGGCTTGTTCCTCAGAAAGGTTTCTCTTAGACGGATGGAGTTAGTGTGGATGGTAGCACTTACTGGTGAAAAGACTTAAAAACTGTGAAATGGACACTTCACAAGTTGAATTTTATAGTGTGTAAATTACCTCTCACTCTTTAAAAGAAAGCAGCGAGGCAATGCCAGCTGGGGATAAGGAATGTATAACCGGTCACGGCTCACAAGCAAAGAAGTGCTGTAGGCTGTTACGCATAGGAAAATACAGCTGCGTCATATGAAGTAAAACACTAGCAAGATTAAATTACAATGGGATGTAGCTTTTCATCTGTCAAACTTGTGAAAGCAAGGCCTCTGATCATTGTAATGGGGCGAGAACATGCAGCCAACTACCTCAATGGTGAGAATGCAATTTGGCATTTTCTTAGGGAAATAACTTTATCTATCTATCTTATCTATCCTTAAAATTGCATATACTCTATGCATTCTGAATTTCACTTCTAGAAATGTCACTATTGTCCTATAACTATACTCGCATGGGGGCACAAAGGTTTAGGAATGGATTCCTGACATTGTTCCTAAGGCCAGAGACTGCACATGACCCCAGAGCTTAGCACAGGGTCCCTGCTTCCATCAATCACCCCACGTCTTGGGATGCCCCAGCAGCAACAGCACCCCAGATGTATCCGTCTATCACTCTGTGTCTTTCCAACGAAGCGGTCCCCTGGAAATAACCCCCAGATGCACAGGATACGGAAATGAATGGCACCAACAGGAGCCACAGTGGCTTTCCCTCGTTTCTTTAAGAACACGAGGTGGCAGAGAATATTTGGGAATGTACGTACTGGACGTGCAGGGCTCGTGGGAGGAGTTAGTAATCGCTGGATGAGATCCCTGTAAGAATGGGGAAGAGGGACAAGATCGTTTCAAAAGGAAAGAAAACATCTGCTCCCTGAAAGTTGAGAGGCCTTTCAGCAGCTTTATCACAAAAACAAACAGGGTCCGGCACAGTAGCCTAGTGGCTAAAGTCCTCACCTTGAACATGCTGGGATTCCATATGGGAACTGGTTCTAATCCCTACAGCCCCACTTCCCATCCAGCTGCCTGCTTGTGGCCTGGGAAAACAGTGAAGGACAGCCCAAGGCCTTGGAACCCTGTACCCAGATGGGAGACCTGGAAGAGGTTCCTGGCTCCAGATCGGCTCATCTCTGGCCATTGCAGCCACTTGGGGGGGATGAATGAATCAACGGATGGAAGATCTTTCTGCACATCTGACTTTCCAATAAAAATAATAAAATAAATCTTTAAAAACAAAACAAAACACCAAAAAGCAAGTGTTTGCAAAAAAGTAGCCAGGTGATGCTTCCAGGCACCTTTTCCAGGGATAAGCAGTGACAACCACTAATGCAGATGTGCCCATCATTTCTTCTTTTTTTTTTAAGATTTAGTTTATTTTTATTGCAAAGTTAGATATACAGAGAGGAGGCGAGACAGACATGATCTTCTGTCCGTTGATTCACTTCCCAAGCGGCCACAACTACTGGAGTTGAGCCGATCCAAGGCCAGGAGCTAGCACTCCCTCCAGGTCTCCCAGGCGGGTGCAGGGTCCCATGGCTTTGGGTCATCCTCCACTGCTTTCCCAGGCCACAAGCAGGGAGCTGGATGGGACGTGGGGCTGCCGGGATTAGAACCGGCGCCCACATGGGCAGGGCGGGTCCATTATTTCTATCCCTGGCCCCTGATTGGCTGTTATCCCCTATTATTGATTGGATAATAGTTTCGATATTTGTCTCCTGGATTGGTATAGACCAATCAGAAGTATGTATTTTCATGACTCTTTCTGACCCGAAAATTGGACACAATTTTGGTCCATTACGGTAGCCCAGGCTCTGGCGCCTTTTCTACGTGCGATAGAAGGGCCTGCATCTCAGGCTGCCCTGCGGGGCGCCTCTTCCGGTCTCCCGGTCTCCCGGTCTCCCTGCCGCGAGGCTCCCTGTTTTCAGCAACACTGCTCTCACTGTCCTTGTCCGGGTGGAGATGCTTCAGCCTGGAACTAGAAGCCGCCCGGGCGGAAGGCCGTGGGGACGCGCGGGTCGCGAGGGACTTGCTCCCGGGCTTACCGGGCGTTCGTCTTCTGGACGTGAGGCGAGTCTCCGTCAGACGCCTCGCCCTTGTCCCAGACATCCTGAGAAGTCCTCGGACGGACGGGAAGGGTCTGGAAGGGCGAGGCGGAGTCATGGCCGACAGAAGGGGCGCTTGTGCTGCTTCCTGGGGCTGGCCCTCGGTCACCCCGAGAGCAGCTCTGAGGGAGCCATCGAGGCGAGCGCGGCCCGGGGCTCCGCAGCCGCCAGTCCTGAGGCCCAGACGATTTGACTGTGGACGCCATGCACCTCCCTGAGGTGGCAGTTGCGAGGAGGCCGCCCGCCCGCCCGGCCTTTGGGACCGGAAGTCGGCCCGCCATGCGGCTCAGCCACGGGCGGCGTCTTCCTCACGGCCTCGCGGCGGCCAGCACCCGACAAGGAGTGGAGCGAGCCGCGGGAGGTGAGAGTCTGAGGCGGAATGAGGCGGATGTTGTGAGGAAGGGGTGTGTGAGAGACCTGAGCTGAGGAAGCAGCCGGCTGAGCCCCGCGGAGGCGGCCAGCACTGTGTGGCCCGTGCGGCGTTGAGGATTTGGTTGTTTTTTAACTGGGGGATTTCACTTCAAAAATCCTAAACTCTGGCTGTCATCGAAATTCCTTTTAAGGGTTGGCACTTGTGCTTGTTGGATCCTTGAGGCAGTTTTCCAGTTATTTCCGGAATTTTCTAGAAGGTTCGTGAGGTCACCTCGGTAGGAAGTCTGCGTTGGAGTCCCAGAATCTTCGAGTGTTGACATATTTCCAGGGGATGTGATGCTGCTGGCCAGGAAAGCTCCCTGTTTCCGGTGCTGCTGCTTTTCCTACAAGCCGGGCCAGTTTGTTTCCCAGAGCTGCTGGTCTTTCGAGGTTTGCTGTCTGCGTATGACATCTCACTCTAACACTCTGCTGTTTTTGTTCAGAAGTGTGGAGGGCACCAATGAGTTCTGAGGGAGTCTCACTGATTCTTTTTATTTTTGCTAAATGAGAAGTGTGGAGGAGGCTTTCCCATTCTAAAAACAAACATCTGAAGAGCTAGCGCAAGCACATAGTACTGCATAGCTGTGTTTCCACTGACAGCAGCAACCAGCAAAGTGAAATTTAGAGTGGTTGATCACATGGATTCTGTGGCTTGATGTGGTCGTAGCTTGTCAGTTTTTGTGCATTTTATAATGTCTGCACAGGGAAGAAAGCACGTAAGGGCACATCTGAATGTGTCAGTGTCATCATGTGTCTTGTGACTGTAAAGATGCAAAAAGTCCACTCGGGGGATTAGAACTGAAGGTGTGCTTGTTCCAAGACCCGAGATGTGAGCGTGGACAGTTCTCATGTGGCAGTGCCCCTTTGCTTTCCTGTTTCCTGTGTTTGCTCTTAGTCTCTCTTCTCTGGGTCTTCCCAGGAGCACGTTAGCATCTGTTAGGGGTCCTGCAGCAGAGCAGACTTGGCACCTGAAGGTTTGAGTTGTGCTGCCCGGCTTCCTTCTGGACTCAGAGGCTAAGAGCAGCTGTGTGTGCCTCAGCAGCAGGCGCATGTCAGTAAGTGACATATGAACCAGGAGGCACAACTGTGTCCAGACTAGCAGCTATGGCAGGGACAGAAACTTAAGAACTTAAAACAGAACAAGGTGAATACAGGTTTTCCTATCTGAGCATACTCCAAGTGGATTTGTCCCCTGCCAGCTTCTTCATGGGACTGGGCTGGACTTCCCCGTGATGTGGCATCTCCTGGTAGGCAGAAGTCTGACCTTTGGCTAGATTCCACCAAAAGTGAGTGTGGCTTCGGGGAGGTGAAACCTGTGTGGATTCTCTGGGCGGTGAAGGGGAGAACTGCGAGTGCCTGGAGGATGGGACGTTCTCGGGGCTTCAGGAGTCCCAGGCGGGGCTGAGGCTAATGTGGAATGAGATGGTCAGCCAGATGATGGAGGGAGTGTAGGGAAGGCCCAAGTAAAGACGAGCTGCCTTGGCTGTCGGCTGTACTTCCTTGCAGTCCCCTCTGGCACACATCCTTGGTTGCTTGCCTCACAGCCCATCTAGGCCAGCCTCACTCTGGTTTTGCTCATTCATTCAATCATTCATTCTTTGTCTTGCTACTCAGAGAGATGTTTGGTTTGCTGGCATCCCATATAGTTAGTGGCAGTCACGTGGACTATTTCTGGTCCCATGGAACTAGTTCTCACAAGAGGGAACTGACAGAGAAGAGCAAGCTGGCCCCTGGAGTGTCCCTTGCCACCCTATGTGGCGACATGATCTGTTTTGCACATGCTCCTGCTGTGTGCTGCTGTCTGGGGCGAGTCCTTGCCAGTGCCATGCCCCGGGCCTCAGGCACCACCACTACATCCGATCCCATTTCTTTATGAGTGCCCGACTTCAGGCCTTTTGGGATAGCCATGATAAATGGACAGGGGAGGGTGAGAGAAACTAATCCTTTTTACGTCTACAGCACAGATACAGAACATACATGGACATTCAGTGTGTGTGTGCCATGACAGCTTGTGAGTGGGACGTACTTTAACTGCGTCATGTGTCCTTGCTGCTGTCCCACCCCGCTGTTATTCACACTCAGGAGAGATGGGGGTCCTTTCAGGTGGAATTGCATCCCCACCTAAGGCGTTGTCCTTCTGACCTGTGATGAGAGACCTTGGAGTTGAAGTCTCTGCAGCTATCAAGATGAGCTCATTGGGATGTTCCTAGTGCAGTATGTTGCCTTGTACCAGAGGAAGGGCGTGCGTGGAGAGGTGAGATGAGGTGAGGGACAGAGAGATGGCAGCTCCCAGCCAGAGAACACTCGAGCCTACAGGAGCAGGGACAGGACCCTGGAAGGAACCCCCTCTCCTGCCCCCTTGATTCCCACTTTGCAGCCTCTGCCTGAGAACCCACATATCCCATGTTCGAGACCCCTCCTCTACGGCTCTCTACACAGCCAGGAGGAGAGACACACAGGTTTTCCGAGCCAGCCTATGGCATCAAGCCTTCCATTTAGTGTCTCCGCCCACAGGAGCAGCCCGTTCCCATGGGTACTGACCTTCATCGTAGTGTTGAACAGTGTGGGTGGATACAATCACCGCCGACCCATTCTGACCACACTCATGATCGCATGTCACCTGAAACAGAGCACTTGGCGTTACTCATCAAGTTCTGGGAAAACCGGAAGAACTTGGGGAAGAACCTGAAAGCTATACAACAGAGAGGCCTCACAGGAAGCAAAATGCTTTGGCAGGCTGTGTTTTTAGAAACTGCTGAGCTTCCTCTTATGCCTCAGAGCAAGAGAAGCATCCAAGCCCAGGACTGGATTCCAGGACTATGGAACGTTCCACTGTGTGCTTCTCACCCTGTAACCACAGGCAAGCACTGACCCATTTTATAGGTAGGGCACTGAGGCTCAGATGGGGTCTAAGACAGACTGGAGCAGGAATTTAAGAAAATTCCGAAAGCGAGTGAAGCTAACCTCACTCCACTGTCCCGCACACACAGGTAGAAACCATAAGGCACACCTTCCGTCAACAGACTTGTCAAGTACGGGGAGCTCGTTTGTTGGCCTCGGGTCTTAACCCGCTTGGCACACCTTCCTTCTGTGTTCATTGTTGCTGCTCTTTCTACGCGTAGGCCACTGTTCTGATCTTTTTCTCTTCTGTGATTTGTCACAGAGGTATCAAAAGACCCTGTACACACAGAGGGTACTGCAAAAAGTTTTTAAAAATTGAATCTAAACTTTATTTAGGTGCAAAATATATTTGAATCATCAGAAAGTTCACAAAAAACTCACACTGTGAAAAAATGATGCAAAGATTTCGAAGCATTTTTGTACTGAAGCATCTCTTAATTCAATCAAATGATTAGTTAATCGATTTTGATTTAATTTCTGCAGTTTTGAAGTGCTCTTAAATATCTTTGCATAAGAAACAGTTGCAAAAGAAAGTATGTTCTGTTATGTTATTTTATTAATAAGTTGTGCCACAAAAGTTAGCATGGACTATTGATGATATGCTAAACATGTCACATATAGTATCTTGTTTAGCTAATATTGTCAGTAGTGAGAATGTAAGTTAATGAGCACAGAGAGAAAACAAAAACCCAGAAGACCAAATACTGAAGATGGGAACATTCTGGAAACATGAAGAGGAATTTTCCCTTTACATTTTTGTGATGGTGTTTATTGACTGAAGTAAGTCTGTGGTCTGGAACTTACCATTAACTCTACCAGGAAATCATATAATCTAAACATTAATACACTTGGCCTACATATTACAATTGATGTTCCCAAGTCAGTACATGGTGTATGTGAAAATCTGACATTTGATTTTACAGTGTACTTTAAGTGGTTTCTTACAACTCAGGATATTTTGTTAACACTGTTTTGCAGCTCCCTGTGGGAAGCCAGAATACAGGGATGCTGGTTATACCAGTGGCATGTGTTGGCTAGAACCAGCAACCTTCAGAAAGGCCCAGGTCCCTGCTATGATTTTTGTTATTTCCTAGCTCCTGGATGCTCAAAGTTATACAAGTTCAGCTGGATTTGAAATCATTGAGGGAGCTGAAGAGATCTCTGGTTCCTAAGCCCTTCATTCAGAGATTGCAGTTTTAGTTTATCTGTAGCTAAAAATGCTCTGTGGTATCAGATGTTGAAAGTGTGCATTTCTGTCCAAGGCCCACTCTATAGGCATTTGAGTTTTCAGGGTGTTTTCTCAATTCCAACCTTCTTTTGTGAACAAGAGTTCCCTCTTCAATCTGATCTACATTAGCTCTATTTATCTTCCTCCTGGAGGGACCGCCACACATTCAGTAAAGCTCCAGGTTTCACTCTGAATTGATGTAAGCAATAACAACGATGAAAATTAATGACTTTCCACTGCCTGGTGGTAGAAGATCCAGGGAGCAGCACTTGGGTCTCCTTGGCCTTGGGTGAGAGTTGTCCTTGAAACTCATAGACCTCCAGCTCAGCTGCACATCGCATTAGCCAGAAGTTTTGAAGATACTGAGACCTGTCTTGGTTCTGCATGGCCTCTGATGCCATTGGTTTAGAGAACAGCTCAGCTATCACAAGTTCGAAAAGTTTCCCAGATGATTCTAATGGGCAGCCAAACCACATGTTGCTCTTGACCTGGGGTTTTCTTTCTCAGCATGGTGGATATTGGGGTCAGCTAATTCTCTGCCCTGGGGCATCCTGTGCACAGTGGAGGGTTTGGCTCATTCTCTGGCCTCCACAGACTGGATGCTAGTATCACTTTCTCTTTGAGTTGTGACAATTAAAAACGTCTCTAGACATTGCTGAATATCCTGGTTGGGGAAAAAGGGGGCACGGTCACCCATAATGGAGAGTCCACCTGGGAGCAGGTACAAACTGACTTCCTGGGAATCACCTGTGGCAGTTCCTTGGGCACCCGCCTATGCAACAGTCTGCCTTAGGTGGGACCTCAGAACCTACAGTTTGGAAGAACTCCCCAATGAATCCCAAAAGTTCAAATACATCTGAGAAATCCCTGAGACTAGCGGCCTGTCACCATCTGTCTATGTGCCAGGTGTATGGAGGCCACTGTCTTGTGTCCTCTCTGGCTTTATCCAATAGTAGCTAATGTCCCTGTGACTACAACTTCACTACCTTGTACGTTTCCGTTTCTGATTCATTCTCCTGGTCTTCATTTCTCCGTGGAACACTCATTTGGTTACCCATTGTCCCTAAAATAGAGAAAAGAGATTAAATGAGAAAAATAATTAGAACCAAAAGCAAACAAAGTGCAACTCTTGTTTGGGAAGCAAAGGTGCAGAGATGAGCCAAGTGATGCCAGGATGGATTCTCATGGGTCAGCTTTGAATGAACTGCCTAGATCCTTTATGGGGAATGAGAGGGGATTTTGAAGCTGCATATTCAATGAAATAGAAGTCAAGTACAACCCTAATTTTCAGCTGCATTTCATTGCTGAAGGACAGGATTTATCATCATGAAAAGCATTTTAAATGTAGATAATATTTCCTTCCCTCTAGTTGGAATTACAGCTGTTGGGTCAAGGAGACTTTAGAATGAGGTGTAATTGAAATAATAATATTTAGCTTTTTCTGATCCTCAAACCAAATTAATTCTCTTTAAAACCACTCAGGGTATCAGAACATTTTTTATAACACTTGGCACTACTTGTAATGATATATTTATGTGGCTATATTTTCATACATTTCATTGACTTAACAAATGTGTCAAGCACATCTCTTCATTGACAGCTATGCCAAACAGTAGGTTTACAGCTGTGAATTTAAAAAATGAGGCTGTCTGACTTCATTGAGCCAAAATTTGGTAGACAGGTAATGAACAAACAGATAATAAATCCACAGATTAGACTGTTTCTGTTGAGTTAGGACTGCTGCATGGCACAGTAATGGGAGTGGAGTCTCCACTAGAGCAAAATGGCCAAGAGCTCCTACAGGAGTTCATTAGCATCCCTATACCTTTGCAAAACTTAAACAAGAACTCAGGGCTTTAAGTGTATGAAGCAATAAGAATAATGTCTGCCTCCCAATTAGCAGCATATATGTGTTTATTCAACAAAACACAAGTGATGAATAAAAAGCAGATTGGTAGCATTGCTTGGACAGTGAGTTGTATGGTAGAGGGCAATAGTGTGGGCTAGAATGATTCTGGAACCTTGACTTGGATCGTTGCTCCAGTCTTGGGGGGCAAAATGGAATATTTGTGTCTCCCAACTAATAGCACCCCAAGGCTTGGTGTTTGCCCTGTTCTTTATCTCCCAGATCTAGGAGTGTGTCGCTCCGTTGGAAGCTGTGCGATTGCATGCTGCTTGAATGGAGATAATAGCACCTGCCAGCTCTTCCTGTCCTGTCAGGGACTGACCTGGGCACTCAGCCATGCAGGGGCCTGTCAGTAAACCGTTACTTTGCCTGGTCTCAGTGCCCACTGCTTTGCTCGTGTTGCCTGGCCAGCCCTGTGAGGCACAGGTGTCCTCATCATCTCACTCTTGATCTGACTTGGCTGAGGCTCAAGGGGGCTGGGGGACTTTGCACAGGCCATGCAGTCAGCAAGGGAAGAGGCAGGATTCAGACGAGGTCGCCTCTACTGATGACTGTCGCCATGTTGTGGGATCCCTGGCTCCCTCAGAAGAGGGGACTCAGCTTCCAGAACTCACACCAGGGTTGTTGATTCAGAATTCGATCAAAGAACATACCGTACCAGCCTCTCTGGTCCTGCTGGCTGTAGGCTTACACACACACACACACACACACACACACACACACACACACACACACACACAGGCCCAAGGTGGGCCTCCTCCCAAGACCTGGCCTCTAGCCCCTCTGCCCCAGGTGGGTAAGGGTTGTCAGGAAAAGCGGGGCTTGCAGTTTCTGACTGAAAGCTGCTTGCATGTCTGCCAACATTCCCATGGATCTCCTGCCCTCAGGAGGTTTTGTTTCCTGGTTCTAGACACAGTAATTCATGGGAAATTTCTTTGTGTATGCATTGGAAATAGCTGCTTTCATCTCAAGGAGTTATTATAGGAACTAACAAGTTACAGCTGTGTTTCACAAAATTTATAGTAAGTGGCATTAAAAGATAAGTTTATTTTGGTGAAAGAAATTTTGAAAACAAATTCAATGAATCTTTTGTGAATTCATGCAAAATGCACATTATTTAAAGAACACTGGATCAATTTCAAAATCTTTAGCCACCAAAATAAGAATATAATCATATCCTTTAATAAAATAATTGATCCTTTAATTCTGTTCTCTGTGAACTTTTTCTAATCCCTTCCTGTAGGTGAGGTGCCCTAGACAGCACCTGACACACACTCAGCCCTTGGCTAGTGTGAGCTGTGGTGGTCATGCTCATCCATTACCATCCATGCTGTTGGCAGGGAGTTTGCCCCATGGTGAGCAAGCCATGGGCCAACCTGGCAGTTTTCTCATTTCCACAGTCCTCTGACCAACAAGTCAGGTTGGGTCCTTCAATCGTTTGTTGTTGTTGTTGTTGCTTGTTTTGTTTTCTTTTATTGGGTAAGTATCTCCAGTCATTCTCATGAGCAGAAACTAACAGAAAATGCCGTGATGGCAGCCTTCTTGGTTATCCCAGGAGTGAGGGCATCAGGCATTCAGGACTTTTGTGTTAAAACCAAACAGTCCAGGGGCAAGCATCTGTGTAGCAGTTAACACATCAGCTGGGTTACCCACGTGCCCCATCAGAGGACCTGCTTTGAGTCTTGCCTCTGCTGATTCCAGCAGCCTGTTTGTGAATACCCTGGGGGGCAGCAGGCAGTGTCTCAAGTATTTGGATCCCTTCTACCCACATGAGAGACTTGCATGGAGTGCCTGGCACCTGAGCAACTGGGAGTTAAACCGCAAATGGGAACTCAGCCTCTCTCCCTTCTCCCTGCCTCTTCTTGGAACCCCCTCTCCCTCTGCCTCTCGAAAGAAAAACATAGATATAGACATTGCTGCATCAGTTCCTATGCTAGCCAGCATTACTGGGTGTCCCAGGAGCATCAAGGAACGACAAGAATGTTGGGACTGGGGTTCTTTTTATACCTATTTAACAGATAGGGGAACTGAAGCTTAAGGCAATTCCTAAAATAATTTTTATTTGTGATGAGGATGTCTCCAGTTTGCAACAAACGGGGACAATAAATCAAATTTTTTTCAGATAAACTTGTTCAATTGGAAGAGGGTAGCTTTTTGTGGGGAGAGGGGAAGGTTCAAATGTGATGTTAAAATTCTTGCTTTCATGAGCTGGTAGTGTTAGTTGATTTGCTCCATGGCATTATTTGGCATTAAACACATGAAGCTGTCATGTGGCAGGGAAGTTTGCTTTGGAAATCGGATTAGTATTGGAGACCTCAATGACTTGCCGCTGTGGGTTCCGACTATGTCTGAGAAAGTCTTGTTGCTTCTCTGCCTCTTGCCTGAGGCCCAGACTGAATTGCACAAAGAATCCCTGGAGATCCCTGGGACCCCATGTCCAGGCCCCTGCCAGACAGGGTGCAGTTGATCCTCTGAGGGTGGGGCCAGGCAGGGTGTGTTTCCGGAATGACTGCCATTGCTAACTCCCTTGTTTGTGCATGGGGCTGTGGTGGTGGTGATAAGTGAGCATCCTCTCTGGTCAGAGATCTTTCCTTGCTGCCACCAGCCCTGGCAGAGACCAAGGATCAGGGATACTTGTGGATGGTAGAAGAGCTTCCAGCTTTGGGTTGCACAAAGCACAGTGGCTGGAAATCCTTCCCACCCATTGCGGGGCACTGCTTTGTCAAATGTAGCCTTAGCTGTGGCACATCTAGAGGGGTGCCATGGGCTAGGGTGTCCCCCTGCTCAGTGGTGGGCAGAGGGCAGGGCACGCTTGCTTCCAGGCATGTTCCCTTCCCAGTGGCCGTGGACACGTGAGTAGCCTATGGCCCACAAAGCACTGTGGGCAGGAGTGGAGCTGCCTGATGGTCGCAATGAGGCCTGCCCTTACTGAGAGAGAAAGAGCCCTGGAGGAACTAGGCCTCGCTAAGTCCCCAGAGGAGTGAATCTGGGCAGTGCACTTGATCATGGTGCCTACATCTCTCTGGTTCCCGGGAGTGATGACCAGGAGCTTTTGGGCTGTGAGCTTACATGGGCTGTGCAGCTCTGATTATCTGCATACATTCACCAGTGGCAGTCTTTCCATTAAGACCCTGGGCTGGCTGCTCTAGTTCTCCAGTTTTCTGATGGGAAACTGAGGCTCAGAGAGGTTTTCACCCTTCTCCTACTGTCCTGACACATCTTGGTATTAAATGGCACACTGCATGTATAGTACATGAATGTATTAGACACAATGTGTTATGGGTATGTAATATCTGGGGTGAGGGTTTTGGTCCCAGTTTTCCAGGGTGGCATTAATATTTCATATGCTAGATCTTGTTCATTTCCTTGATGACTTATATGACCACCCTAATTGTTTGTGTTTGGAAACGTGTTGGCTATTCTTTGTTTTGTCCTCACAATAACTTGAGGAAAGTGTTTCTCGCACTAGGTCAACACCTGGGCATAGCTGTGACAGTCACTCTTCAGGGTAGGGCATGCTGCTGGCATCCAGGGAGCAGAGGTGGCGTGCTGCTGCACATCCTCTTCCCTAACAATGACCAGTCCCCGAGCGTCTTTAAGTTGAGGTTCAGGGATCCTGCTCTGGGGGCTGCACTGCGGGATAGCCTCATACTCCTAGTACTCTGAAGAGCCAGTTGGCAGACTAACCCGTAACAGTGACAGGGAGCAAAGCTGCCACCTGGAGTCACAGAGATCCCCGTGGGACTCCAGCGGTGATGCAAAGGGCGCAGGCTGCATGCTGTTGAGTCCAGTGCAAGGACATGGCCACCAAGGACATGGCCACCAAGGACATGGCCTCCAAGGACATGGCCACCAAGGAGCAGAGATCAGCTGCTACTGCAGGTGCTCGCTGAAATGCACTTATGAACCGTGGGCCCCTGTGGCCATGGAGGACAGTGACTTTGGCACTCCCACAGAAACCAGAGTGTGTGGATTCTCGTGTCCTTTACAAAAAATGCCACGGTATTGGCCTAGAACTCACACAGTCCTCCTGTAACGTCAGAGCATCTCCAGGTTACTTACCCATAATGGCAGTGCTGGATAAGCAGCATATGTGTCACAGTGCTGAGAGAATCGTGACGAAGAAGTCTGCACTGTTCAGGATGGATGCATTGGCTTTTCAGTGATTCTTTGATACTTGGCTGGAATTTGCAATGTAGAGCCCTTGCATCTGCAGTAATAATGCTTCCTAACTTTTCCATACTGTCTACACTCTCCCAGACTCTGCTGTAAATGGGCTCCTGGATTCATTATACCCTCATCAGAGCCCCACGAGGAAGATACATATCTCAGAGTCTAGAGAGCTAAAGTTCCTCACCCCAATCACAGATAGAGTCCTAGCTCCCAAAATTCATATGTTGAAGCCCTAACTCCTGAAGTGACTGCATTTGGAAATGGGGCCTCACCAGGGAAGGGTGAGTGGGTGCCTGGGAGTGGGCCCGGTCTAATGAGATTGGTGAGACAATGAAGCACTCATGTCTCTCTCCCCTCTCCCCCAGTCTCCAGCACATGAAGGCAAACCAAGAAAGCAGATGGCAACACATCAGAAGGGGGGCTCCCAGCAGACCTCAACCAGCGGGATCCCTGATCTTGGCCATGTAGCCTGCAGAACCGTGAGTAAACCCACTCCTGCTCTCAAAGCTGTCCAGTCTGTGGGATGTTGGTCATTGCAGCTCAAGTCCATCGGCCAACACAGATCAATTGCTGGTAAGTGAATCAGGGCTTAATCCTTAAGGGGCAAATTCTAGATTTTAGATTTAACTTTTTGCTGTTGTTCTATCTCATCTGTCGCATAAATCATGTTATCATTTGATGAAATGTTTATATGTAACAAAATTGGGCAGAGTACAAATATTTATTGCCTGTTTTTCTAATGAAAAATAAAAATAGACCTAGCTAGGGGGTATGGACTGATCTAAGGTGAGAAATGTGGAAGTGAATGGTCACTGGTAATCATAGAATGGCGCGCCGGGGCTTGGCAGGAGTCCAGGGAGTACATGCTTAGGACTAATGCCATTCATTTCTGTGGCTCAAGTCATGATCCCAGAAGCTCCCTGTTCCGATCCACGAGTGGATTTGTCACTGGGGTAACTGCCCCCGGGTACCTCCTCTGCCACTCCAGAAGCAGCACCTTTGCTGCCGCTTGTTGGAGCTGTGTTAGTTACACATAAAGAGACCTTCCTCCCTGGTGCAGGCAGCAGGCCAAACACCAACCCAACATGATATGCGCAGGCGTGGAGAAAGTGCTTTGTCGAAGCTTCCTGGCCAGCAGGCAGCTAAATGACTGTCAGCTGGAAGTGTGGCATTGCGCTGACAGGGTTAGTCACTGTGTAAACAAGGAACACCTTTGATCAATGGAATGTGAGCAAACCTGGGGCCTCCCTTGTTTCCAGCGGAGGGCAATGCCAACATGGCCAGGCTGGCACACCCCACAGAACCAGCCCTCTAAAGGCTAGGTCAGTACATGTATGAGTAAGGGCCGCCTGGTCCTGTGTCCCTCTGTGTGTCCAGCATGGTGCTAGTACCTGCTGCTGCTGCTGTGGCAGGGCCACCGTGCACAAGGATGCAGGACTGAAATCCCCTTAACTTGTGCCCTAAGCCCTGGTGAGAGACTTTGTGAGACCACAGGTGTCTTTATCACCTGCACCGTGTTTCTAGAGTTTGTGATGGCTGCAGCTGTTGCATAAGTGGTAGATGATCTTAGCTGGGAATTCACTAATTCTTAGTATTGCACTAAATTTCTTTAGGCCAATAATGAGAGCAGATAACATTAATTGAAAACTTATTATGCACTGGGCAGGGTACACATTGCAAGGAGGTGACTCCCTTGGGGGGTGCAAAATTGTCACCAGAGTGAGCAACCCTCACTTGTTCTACCATGGTCATGGTCTTGATGTTGCCACCTACATTTCTGCCTTTGCCTCACAGTGGCCTAGTATTCTCTAATGATACAGACAGAGGTTTGATGCTGAGGTTTGTCCTAATGTAAACGCTGTGAGGTCAGACGTCCTGTCCGTTCTGCCTGCACACAGGGAGTCTGCAGTTCTTATTTCTTGATTAAATGGACAAAGGAAGCTATGGGGAGACCAAGCTGGGGTTTGAACCCAGGTCTGTGGGACTCTGGTAGCCAAACCACCTTCCTGAACAGCGTGTGGTCAAAGGCAGGAGAAGCTGTTTTTTGTCTGGGGAAAAAGCGTGATGCACACACGCATGTGTCCAGGCCCAGCCGGAGCAAGGCCTTGATGAGGGTAAGGCAGGTCAAGAGTTGGCCTCCGGTGCAACACTTCGGAGACTCTCAAAAGGCTTTTTCGTATTTTTACACAAATTTATGAAATCAAAATCAGTGCTGTTGCCAATTCTATTTTTTTGGTATTTTGTCTATCACAGATGTCTTGCCATTCATTTTTATTCTAAAATAATAATTTCTTCAGGTAAGTGTTAGTTAGCCCTTAGATGTTGTGCCAAATATGGTTGCCGACTCTCTTTCCCCATCACTCCAGTCCTAACTGGATTCCAGCTCCACAGGTTTTTCTCTGTAAAAGCTTGGCACCAGTTCCTTTCTGTCTCCCTGCCAGCCTTCTCCCACTTGTGACATGGGACTGATGATACTAACAAAACTCACGGCTAATAGTTGTTGAGTGCATAGGTGTTCACAGACATTAGTCTTGTCAACACTGTCATTATGCCCATTTTACTTTTGAGGAGACTGAGTTCCAGAGAGCCAAAGGAATTTACCCCGGGGCTTCAGGCCAGCTTGTGGAGGTACAGGGACTGTGAGCCAGGCACCCGATCCTCCAATCACAGAGACTCTTCCAAGGCAGGAAACCATGGTGTGGAGGGCATTGCAGATACACAGAGCTGTGCAGCGGGGACTTGAGTCCAGCACCTGCCTCACTAATCCTCTTAAAGTGAAGGAGGTAATTCATGGAAGGAGCCAGCTTCCCAGCAGGTGCTTCCTTCCTGTGTATCCCTGGCTCTTTAGACAACGCCCTAGGTAGAGAATAAGGCTGCTAGGTTCTAGGGTATTCTTGCCCCCTAATAGTGGCTCCCAGATCACAGGGCCAACCTCTCCATCCACCAACAACCCCCAAGTCCTGCACCTGGAAAGACCTTCAGTGTTTCTGTGTGGACAAGGAGCTCTGTCTGTGCAGCTACAGACCTGGCTCTGCCCATGTTGTCCTAAGTTGCACTTTAAGGAAGGTGCGATTTTAAGTCTGTTTCTGATAGTAGAATGAGGCTCACTCATCCCCAGGGTCACATCGTGAATAAGGAGCATGACTGGCTGGGAGCAAACTTGACCCTCTCGCCCCTGGCCTTTGCTTTCCACTACTGATCACACACAACAAGCCCATCAGCAGTGCGTACAGATCTGAGAGTGGTTACCTGTTGGCTGCTTCAAGGGAGTCACTCTAGGCCCGCAGTGTCCACTGGAGCTGTGTCTGCCCAGGTCCCGTGTCTTGAGCTGGTCCTGCCCCGTGCCAGACTGTGAGGCCGAGTCCTCGGCTTCCTGGTCTGGAACCTGGAACCTGTTGCCTGAACACACAGAGCAGGGCAAACACAAGCCTGGGTGGAGTCCTTCCCGGCTTCTCTTCCTGGACTTGGGGCTGCCCTCCTCTGATTTCTCATGCATTCGTGCTTCCCTGGTACTCTAGGCAGACTGCCCAGTGCCCCTCACCCACCAGAGCTGCCTGGGTGGACCTAGGGCAGCTTGTTTCCGGTGGGTCAGAGTCAGAGCAGGGAAAACACGCTCTGTAAGATTCTGCAGTTCTGTCCACTTTCCACCTTCATTTGCTCTCCTACCACCTAACCACCCAGTTGGAAAGCATCAGCATCGCGCCCACTGCCCTGCCCCCAGCCATGTAGATATAGTCTCCAGGGGCTCTGCACCCTGAGCTGAGGGCAGTTATTTCCCGGGGGACCAAAGATGATATCACAAAGGACATCCTTTTCTTTCCTGCAGGCCAGAAATTCAAGAGAGGGTATTTAATATAATTTATTTTATTCCAGGAAAGATATTTATTCTGCTGTGGGACAAGGACCCAGACAATGCAGTATGAGAGCATAAATTAAAATACAACACAAAAAAGAGAGGAAGGTGAGTGAGGGCATTGAAAGTCATCAAAATAAAAAATAAGTGTATATCTATGAATATGGAGTTTTTTTTTTACAGAGTTAATATTTGTTTTGAATGTCAGAGCTACAGAGAGAGGGAGACACATTCACAGGAAGAGAAATCTTCTACCCACCAGCTCACATTCCCCACGTGGTCACAGTGGCCAGCACTGGGCCAGGCCAAAGCCAAGAGCCAGGAGGTTCTTCTGTGTCTCCCACATGGGTAGCAGGGAGCTCTTTAACGACCCCCCACTGCTTTTTCCCTGGACCACCAGCAGGATGGTGTATGGGAAATGGAGCAGTCCGGAGATGAACCAGTGCCCAGATGCGGTACCAGCAATGCTGGCCTTGATTTACAGGGTTTTTATGAAGTGTTCATATATGTGGCTTTAAGCTGTTTAACGTTAATGCAAAAAGGAAAACATGACAAGCTATACTACATAATGCTTTTGAGAAAACATTCAAGAGAAATGGAAGCTGCTAATTACTGCAGCTTGATTCAGTCATGCGCTTAGTCAGGCACCCATCATGAGTACTTGGGGAGCACCAGGATGTATAGGAGCGTAGGTTTAGAGCGATGAGGAAAAGCAGCCAGTCTCCTCCCTCTGTGGAACCTGGAGACTCACAACCAGAAACCATTACAGAGTGGGATCCTCATTATAAAGAAGCAGCTAGGGTAGCTTAAAAAACAAAACAAAACAAAGCAAAAAAATCAAGCAAACAAACAAAAACAAAGCGAGACAGAGAATGCCTCTTCAGAAAGCAGAATTTAAGGAACAAAAATGCCATTTAAATAAGCATTGAATTTCCAACCAGGCATACTGTAATTAAAGTTGTAAACTCGATTTTAGCTCAGCATTGCACATTTAAATCTGAGATGTAATAAACTCAATTACTAAATAGCTTCCATGGACCCATGCTATGTTTTTCTAAGCTATTGGCACTCTGGTCCAGAGATTCAGGAACTCAGGCTCTGATCTGAGGTTTCGTAGATATGGGCTTGTATCTTGGTTCCTGAAGACCAACTATGTGGTTGTAATCAAACTGTTTGACTTCTGTGTCTGCCAGCTCTGCTCCCTTTGGCTATGAGCCCTTTTGTGTTTATTTTGCATCTGTTCTTGTATTCTCAATTTCCGCTTGCTACAAGATCAGAATCATGATTTTGCCTCCGTAGAGTAGGTGTTCATAGTTCCTGTCAAACTTGATTAATTTTGTTCCTACATCCCATGTAACAGGTGTTGGGATGGTGTCTTTACTCTATCTGACTACCCATCCATCAAACCATCCATCTACCCACCCATCTCTCCATGCATACATATATCCATCATCCACCCATCCACCCAGCAATAGACGCATCCATGTGTCCATGTCAATATATCTATACCAGAATCAGGATTTCTTTTAAACACTTATTTTATTTTTATTGGAAAGTCAAATTTACAGAGAGAAGGAGAGACAAAGATCTTGCATCTGCTGGTTCACTTCCCAAATGGCCACAACTGCCAGTTCTGAGCTGATCTGACTCCAGGAGCCAGGAGCCTCTTCCTGGTCTCCCATGTAGGTACAGGGTCCCGAGGCCTTGGGTCATCCTCCACTGCCCTCCCAGACCACAAACAGGGATCTGGATGGGAAATGGAGCAGCTGGGACACAAACTGGTACCCATATGGGACCCTGGCAGATGCAAGGCAAGAGGCCTGAATTAGGATATTTTTAAGAAACATTTATTTGTTTACTTAAAATAGTTACAGAAAGAATGTGAGAGATGGAGAGATAGGTCTTCCATCTGCTGCTCTACAACCAGTATTTCTGGCCCAGGGCTGGGCCAGACTGAAACCACATCCAGAAACTTCATCTGAATCTCCCACAGTGGTGGCAGGGTCCCAAGCACTTGTGCCATCTTACATTTCTTTCCTAGGCTGTTAGTAAGGAGCTTGATCAGAAGTGGAGCAGCCAGGACTCCAACTGGTACCCCTAGGAATGCTGGCATCACAGACGTTGGCTTTACTTGCCCTGCCACATTGACAGACCTGCCTGAGAATTAGATACTTATGCACTTTTTTTTTTTCAAGAATGTGAAACTTAGGAGCATGAGTGACTTGGGCAGTTAGGAAAAGCGATTCCTGCAGGTCTGGCAGTTTGCAGACCATTGTCGAAGGCTGACAGAAGTAGCGGTGGAGACATGAGCAGTGGCAGCCAGCAGCTGGCTATCCTATGGTCCAGTTCACTTCTCACCTTCTACCTGGAGGTGGCATCAGAGCACACAGGGTAAGGGCCACGTCCACCAGGCACACACCTGCGAAAACCAGGCTTTCCATGACACCCTCCACAGGTTTAGAGTGCTTGAACAGCTCACAGAACCAGGGAAGCTCTGTACTCACTTTAGAGATTTATTTTCAAGGATGTTTTAAGGCCTGAAAGAGTGGCAGGTACAGACGCTGCAGTCCTGTGGAGGTGGGTGATCCCCCATCTCCTTGCCCCAGGATTTGGTGATCTTGTTCACTTGCTGAGAGCTTCCATGTGGTTAGCTGTCTGGAAACTTCCTGAACTCTGTCCTTTTGTGAGGCTACAGCATACAGACATGATTTACTGGAAATGGTGGGAGACTCAGAGAGGCTGTTGGCTGTAATACCCAACACTTTTGATCTCTAGGGTGCTACCCCTTCTGTACACGGGTCTTGTCATCTACTCATCTACTCAGGGTGGGTCACAGAATTCATGTTAGTTCCTAGAGACAGGAGTTTAGCTTCATGTGTCACTTAGGGTGCCTGAGTGACTCCAGCTCCTAATTCCATCATCTTGCTAGTGTGACCTGGGAGGCAGCAGGTGATGTTCAAATGCCACTCACGTGAGTGATGTAACATGAGTTCCCAGTTGGTGGCTTTGGTCCCTGGGTCTTTGAGGGACTTTGAGTAGTCACTCAATGGGTGGGAATACTCTCTCTGTTTCTCTGTATCTCTCAAAAAAGAATCAGTTTTGATGACTTGCCCTGCAAAAGAGAAGTGGCTGTTTCCGTGTCCTGCTCTGTGGTGAAAAATGAGCAGGTGGAAGATGAGGAAGTTGGAGAGGGAGAGAGACTGCTTGGGAGGCACCCAGTTTTTACCCAGTCCCTTAGGAAGCAATGGCTTTGGGAGGAATGTGCTAGAAACTATGGAGAAACAAACAAAATAGATGTCGTATCACAGGGACTTAAGCATAAACTTTTTTTCTTTCTCCACTGTCTCCCTACTTTTCATGTATTTTGTTATTTAAAACTATTCTATGTAATGAAAAATTTAAGAATTCCACTAATAGCCTGAATGTGACTATTTTTCTGTATAGTGTGTGATGCTGGTGGAAATGCAATGAACTCGCATGGAGCACCACCTAGAGCATAGAGCTCCTCTTTTGCAGCCTCCCGTGTAGCTCATGCTTACAAAAGCAGCTTAAATGCTGTGTAAACTTATGCAGCAGTGTCTGCCTCACTTCTAGAGGGAGGGGCCGCCAACACTGGTCACCTGCAGGCTGCTGATGGCTCGGGGGGATTGCAAGGAAAAGAGTTTGGGACAACCTTTCTGCCCCTTTCCTTCTCTGTGGTCAGTTCAGCTTTGGTGGCTGGACCCCACAGTGAGGGAACATGGCTTGGGAAAGGCAGTTCAGGTTCCCTCTCTTGCTCTTTTTCTCCAACTACTTCAAAACAAAAAACTTACACAACAGAGGGTGTGAGAAAGAGAGATGCCCCACGTGCTATTTAATTCACCAAATGCATGCTACAATTTGAAGCTGCACCAACCAGAGCCAGCCAGGAGCCAGGAACTCAGTCCAGATCTCCCACGTGGGTAGCCAGGACCCTGGTGTGGGTCACTGGTCGTCTCCCAGGGTGTGCATTTTTCATAAAGCTAGATTTGGAAGTGTAATCAGAACTTGAACCTAGGCATTCCATTTGTAGGCATAACGGCTATGCCAAACATGTGCCCCAATATTTGACTTCAGTGGGAAGGGTGAGCTCTCTGGGCTTGGAGAGTCTACCAGAATTCTCGAGAGCACCATGAATGCTATGTGTGAATGGGTGGCAAGGGACAGCAGACATGGACATTGTGCTTACTCATACATCCTGCCACTTTTCCTATTCAAATTCAAAGATATCACTCTCAGGGCTGCAGAATGGTGACCCCGGTACATGAGACCAACCCAAGGAGAGGTAACAGTGTCTTTGGCAGCATGAAGTTCTTGGTGGAAGAATTTCCTTGTGTGGTATGGGAGGAAGCTGTCCCAGTGGAGTTTCTCCCAGTCACTGTACTCTAGGTGGTGTCTTCTTGGTTCACCTCTTAATCTTCTTGTGGCATGATCTCCACCCCTCTTC